TGAAACGCCATTAGATATTCTTCGTCCTACGGATAAACGTAAAAAAAGGGGATTCGCTAGGAGCTCTTTTTTTTTTTGTTTTGAGAACAATGAGCGTAAATATTCATACAATGCGTTATAACAGGATTTATTTGTAGCTAATGAACTATCGCATCGTAACAAACCTATTATTGATTTGTGCCCAATGATAACATTAATATTATTGATCTTTTCTGATCGACAGAACGGAAATAGACGATTACGACGAAGTAGTGCTCTACCCTACCTGCTTAGCTTAGTGTAGAAATTAATTTTTAATTTATATCTGACCAATTGACTAAACATCTCATGATTTTTAGATCATTGATTATGTCCGGTATCAAAAATTAGCATCCAAACATGATCCACTTAGCATGCAAGGAATTTGAAATCGGAATTTGTTTTTTTTTTATTGGCATCAATCTGCTTCAAGTAGCTTCCAGGGTGGCAACTTTCTTTTATAAAAATTCCTGGTTTTTGAACAAAGCTTTAAATCTATCAGATTTGCAGATTTCCTTTAATTTTTCTACATGATACAAATGTCTTTAGTATATTTTACATGTATTTAATTGTATGCTTCGTATACAAACAAAACTGGTTTGAAAAAACAGAAGTAATTAAATATTCCATTACATATATTCAACGTTCGCTGAGTTGTGTTGACTTTTCATCAACCAAAGAACAATCGCTAACTAAAATGCATATCATGTGTCAAACCCGATAGTAAAACAAATATTTAAAATGCATCAGTGCCCATCCGGCTCATGTCAACAAATTGAAATTAAATTTTGACAGATAAATATCCATTTACTGAGTATTTGTTTCAGTCCAAGGTTTTCCACTTAGCTAACGTCTACTGCAATCAAGCGGCTTAATTTTAATTTCTTGACCTCCGCTCAAGCCTTAAGCCTGGTTTAATTAAATGGGTACTTTTTTCCTCTTGGCGATATTGGCATTTACTATATAAGTCATTAAGACTCCGAACCCGAAGCCTCGGTAAAATGTGTAACGACATACTTTCAATGTTTGAAAAATCATAGCTCAGCCATTTATTGACAAATTTCAAATTTATTGGCACCATCTGAAACTAGATACTTTAAAAATTTATTTGGTATCAATAGATTTAAAATCAATCAATAAATTGTAGAGCAATCATTTTTCAAACATTACCAATTTTCCGCTACACATTTTACCGGAGGCATCGTGTTCGGAGTGGTAAAAAAAGGGTAACAGTTTTCATTCAACAACGAAATCTAATGAAAACTCGCACTTTTTATTTGTCAATCACGTATCCAGCACCGAAAGCAAGATTTGTGATAGATCAGTGCACGTAGATGTTAAATTTGACAATATTTTGGGTGGTTTGATTCGGTTCACATTCGTAGTTATCTGTTGCCATCACTTTTACTCTGGTCTCTGGTGTTAAATGAATGGGATACAACAAGACCAAATTGTGAGGTTAGAGACCGTGCACTGATCTATATGAGCTTTCATCGTGTTTGTACTGAGACTCAGTACAGACTATGTTCCATTTGGTGAATTTTCACTTAAATTTGGCAGATGGAAAATTTTCAAATAAACCTGGTATTGTACCAGACTTATTTCTGGCAGACCAGGAATCAATTCGAGGCTGGCGAAGTGTGGCCATTGACGAGTGCACGGATGGATTTGAGTTCACTCACTCGACAAAAAGTGACACAACAGCGGGGCCCTGTTTATTAAAAATGAACACATATTTGTTCATTTTTAGTAAACAGGGCCCCGCTGTTGTGTCACTTTTTGTCGAGTGAGTGAACTCAAATCCATCCGTGCACTCGTCAATGGATCGAGTAGAGTGGAGACGACTTCTTCGGACAGCAGAGGACAACAAGGCCTTACCCTGATTGGTATAAGAAATCAATTTTGACAAACACCTTCTCGAAGTGTCAAGTGAAAATTCACCACTTGGAACACAACCTGAGAACATAAAGCAAATTTGCGTTGTCATGACAGCAGCGACGAAAGCCGTGATGCTTTTCTGCTCGATTATCAAAGTGTATTGAATATTGCTGATTCACATATATCTTAGGGGCTGTTCATTAACTACGTAGACAGTTTTTTGGGATTCTTGACCATACAATTTTTTTAAAATTTATATGGGTCGTGGATAATTGTCAACCCCCCCCCCCCCCCCCAACTGTCTACGTAGTTTATGAACGGCCCCTTATACCCCGTTCACATTACAGCCTATATCACGTAATATAGGCTGTCTTGCAATGAGCACTCATACATAGGATTTCCAGTGAAAACTAGATGTATGAGTGCTCATTGCAAGACAGCGTATATCACGTGATATACGCTGTAATGTGAACGGGGTATTATACCCCGGACAGACTATGGCTTATATCATGTAATATAGGCTGGCTTGCAATGAGCACTCATACATCTAGTTTTCACTGGAAATCCTATATATGAGTGCTCATTGCAAGCCAGCCTATATTACATGATATAAGCTATAGTCTGTCTGGGGTATTAGCATGCATCGATATTTCACAAATAAGCAGAAGCAACATCCGCAGCTGTCAAATATAAACACAACCGGATAATAACTATCATTCTTCGAAGCCTCGGTTGAAGACAGATCGATCCCTCTTGATTGCAATCGACCAGATCGGCTGGATTATCAATTTTATCAATCAGGCTGTGTCAGTGTCTCACTTTCCAACAGGTGCTTCCAAAAATATGGTATTTTGTAATCGTAAAATTGAACATATTTGTAGTTCTGTGGGGAACGCTTCAGCTCAATTGATCATACAAAGTTACATCATGTCAAAGTTGAATTTTATGGAAATCGTGAGGAGAATAGCAGGTGAGTTTTAGGGACAATGCCAAGAGAAATCAAATGAATGTTCAAAAAGAATTATAAGCAGAATTCAAAACGTGTTCTGTGGATAATTTCTAAGAAAATATGAGTCATATTCCGAAAATAGCATCAAGAGTATTCCTAGAAAATAACGAAGGAGGATAATTAAAAATAAAATAAAACTTGAGGGTAATTTAAAAGAAATTCTCAAGTAAAAAGGTTCAAGAAAATTCAAAAGAGAAATTCAAGTCATTTCTGTGTAGAATTCCACATTTATGGACAGAGTCTTGTTTCAAAGAAAATGTTGATAAGAATTTCAAATTTTTAAATCAGCCTAAATCTCATAAAAGTTGCAAAGAAATTTTATGAAGGATTCCAAGATGTTTTATGAAGGACAGAAAATGTTAAAGTTGAAATCGGCATGGCTCAGAATTCATAATGAATATTTACGATTAATTGTAATAAACTTTACGATAAGGTTGCGTAGAAAAAAAAGCAGAAGTCTTTATAAAATTCATGCACATCCATAAAAACTACAACCTTTATTAAGTGACCGTTTGTCATGTTTATTGAATTTCCCGGTTTTTCCCGGTTACTTTTCAAATTCCCTGTTATTTCCCGGTTTACTGATCACCCTGTTATTTTTGTATTACTTCGATATAACGTAATGAATTTAAAATATAAGTTACATAAGTTATATTGAGTTATGACTGTATTACGTTGTACGTATAATTTGAGAACATATATTTTATCTGCTTTCCCTAATAAAAATTGTATGGTTAATTTGCTTAACGACGTGTTCTGGGTATCATCCAAACCATTTGTGGAATAGTTCAATGATTTGGGTTATCGTTCGTTTATGGTTATTTTTTATTAGGGTTTACTGTCATTACACATTGTATTACATACATAAATATTTGATACATTCGCATTCGTATTAAGCAAGTTGCACTGATACTGTGGAACAAGCGCAATGCAGTGTATAAACCTCATTAGTACAAGCGTACAAGTCCTAGACCATTGTTTGAGAACACAATATTTGATACATCAGCATAAATTAGGTTTTAATCATAACCATCTTTTTTCCTGTGAAGAACACTTAAAATCATCAATATTGCCAATGTTCCCCTCCGTATTGATGTGTGTGATTTGCTCTTTATACTACTTCAATATACAATATATTCAATAGAATGTATTGCATTTGTCTACATTTTGTTGTTTTCCTTTTAAAGCCTCGTGTCCAGCTAACGGAGCTATCAACCGGTTCAGAACTCTATTCGCGAATTTCCCCTCCGAAGACTTATACCGGTGTGAACGCACACAACCATATCCTATATACTATTTCTACCAACCAATGCACACTCACACTTGGGAGTTGTCCCCGTAAAATAGGCGTAATGACTCGGATCGGCTGGTCGAATGATGGAACGAAATCCATCTCATACACAGGCAAAGTAACGAAAACGCCTAATAAGTTCTCAAATTCACGACCGGCGACCTGCTCCAATACCGCCTCGCTTACGTGGGGCATAGCCTCACATAGCGGTCACTGCCACTCTACTTCTCTTCCCGGAGGCATTGCGGTCATTTGATATGTAAATCAATAAGCAAATTTCAAAATAAGCTCCGGGCCTAACTGTACAACAGCAAGTAGGTACCTACTGCATTTTTTATCAGGACCTTCCTATCTATACAGCTCGACACAATGCATAATCATTATCATCATTACCGGTCCAATGAGAATGAAACGTGCCTAGATGCAATTACAAATCTAACTGAAAAAGACCAAAGAAAAAGCACCATCACACAACCTATTGTGTGAATAGGCAACAAGGCACCGCGATTTGTGATGATTTCATCTTTTTCACCGCAGATCCCACGTAGGTAGATGAAGAAAAAAAAAAACGAATACGGAACAGTCTCGTGAGCAAATTATCGATTTTTCTTTGCTCCCGAATAAGGCCAGTACGATGGAAATGACCTTCAAAAAGAGCTATCACATAACGGTCATACCGACTGTAAGAATATCAATTTCGCCGGTCAAGCTAGTTTCTAGAACATCCCGTTTATTAGCACCTCCAGCAACCGGAAGGAATTATATTTTTACCAGTAAATTATAGAAAAGAAGAAATTGACTTACCTCGATAACGACACGTCCCAGCGGAGCGTTATCGGCAGAAAGATCGAAAAAGCAACGCGGCAGACCCATGGCTTTTTTGGCGTAATTACACACTTGCTGCACAAACAGAGAACCTCCAGAAACACAAGAAAACGGCGATTTACGTGCAAATCCCACAAACGCTTGACTACTGCTGCTGATACTCTTGGCGAAGACAGCGGAGGCCGATGTCCGAGTGATGAATGCTAATGCCATGGCGGAAGTTGATTGCCGCTCACGAAACGACCCGATGTTAACGCAAAGTCTGCAAAGACGAATGAATTACGAATGAACATTAGTGGATTGTGGTGTGCTTGGGGTAAAATGAGCATTTTGTTAATTAGGTTCTGCAGCGTGACGTCACAAATGAACTCAGTGTTAATCGGCTGAACCTTTTTGACAGTTCAGTGGTACTGTTTACAAGCACTTAGTCGTTTTTTCGAAAAAAAGAATTCTAAAATTTCCGAATTTTAACTAGAAAATTGTCGAGGAACAACGCATTGCAAGGATGTTGCTCGTGAACATTGCAGAAATGTGGTTTACATCTCACTGCAGTCTGAAAAATTATCGAGAAAATCCACCCAAGAAAAAATCGGCTAAGTCCACGTAAACAGTACCACTAAACTGTCATCAGATTGAGGTTAACCCCGACGGTGCAAAACCTAATTAGGTTTTGCACCGTCGGGGTTAACCTCAATCTGATGACAGTTCAGTGGTACTGTTTACGTGGACTTAGTCGATTTTTTCTTGGGTAGATTTTCTCGATAATTTTTCAGACTGCAGTGAGATGTAAACCACACTTCTGCATTGTCCACGAGCAACATCCTTTCACCGCGCTGTTCCTCGACAATTTTCAAGTTAAAATTCGGAAATTTTAGAATTTGTTTTTTCGAAAAAACGACTAAGTGCTTGTAAACAGTACCACTGAACTGTCAAAAAGGTTCAGCCGATTAACACTGAGTTCATTTATAACGTCACGCTGCAGTACCTAATAGAGATTGCTGACGTTTATCGTACGCACACTACGTCACGTATACGTATACGCAAAATGTTTTCATCGGGAAAAAAAACTTCATCGCAGAAAATTTTCGAAACTAACGAAACTAACGATTTTAAATTGGCTCACCACTTTAGTAGCCTATTGGTCCCAAGCAAACGATTAACGTACCCTATTCTAGTTGAAATTCTATTACTACACTATGTTTGTTTTGATTCGCTATGAAAGTTTGACAGATAACATCAGGGGTGTGTGGATTCATGCAGAACATGCAGGGGTGAGTGAAATAGCTTGGGACTGCTTGGGACCGTTGTTCTGGTACTGAGTGAGCCAAAAATAATAATGATTTTCTTCGGGACCCAGTGGTCTTAGAGTTACCTCTATGGTAGTACCGCCACCTGTGGTGCACATAGTCATTTTCCTTGCGTTTGACGTTTACACACTACCGCCATCTGTTCAGCGTACTACGCACCACTGTGTACTCAACAGATGGCGCTAATGTTTCAGCGACGATGTTTTACAGTGAGAAATATTAAATGTGTTATGTATGTTTGTCTGTGCTTATTATCAGATGATTTTAAGAAGATCGTCATTCAATTCATCTTTTGACAGAATCAAGGAAATGTATGAATATAATTTAAAATTAGCTTTATAATCATATATACAATAATCAAAACAGAACACTGTGTGAATGATTTGCATACAAAAACTTTTCAACTCATCAGTCTTGTAATGAAAGAAAATGAGATAGAATTCAAATGATGTCCATATCTATGCGAGGGGCACGCAATAACTTTTAACTCCTACGCAAGCCTTTTTTAAGTACAATAATTACAGTTAACTACATGATTAATTACTTTAATTACGAGCGTCGGAAATTTTTTGATTTAATTACTTTTAAGTACGAATTTCAGTTTTAATTACAAGTCGCATAAATTAAGTACATTAACTCCATTAATGTACAACGAGAAATGTACTTAAATTTCACTCAGCGTACCGTTAGACCCTTTCGTTATTGTCCCGTGAAACAAAAATTTCACAGGCCCTTTTGCTACGTTAAGGATAATTTCAGTTGGTGATTGGTGCCAATTCACATACAACGATCGGTTCGTGATTGGAAATGTAGTCGGATTTCAATACTGCCGAGGTGTTGGTAGGGCAATGAACTATATCCTGGATCACGCCCCTGTATAAGCACCGGAGAATGCGACAATGAAAGGAATGTTTGTTTGTGCTACCTGGTTCAATGAACGAAAACAGAATTACAATAGAAAATTATGTTAACCTTTGCGTGCCTAACGTCTAAATTTGCATAGATTTCCAAATTCAATTAGCTCTAAAAACATAATTTCTCAATATTTTGCTTTACAACAAATTGCATTTTGTCGGGAATCTATTGAAGTTTCTGAATACATCTGAAAATATTTTGATCAATACATGGTTCCGGAGTTATTTCGGTTCCCGTTGGGGTCACTTTTGGTCGGCATTCGGCTTTATTGTTCTGTAATAAGTATACACACGATGAACATCATGTTTTTTCTCTCAAACGATGTAATTGGACCAGTGGCAGCTATTCCAACGGTTCACAATCATATTGGGCATCCCGGAAATGTTCCGGTGCCCCGGGGAAGTGGCCAATTTTCAACAAGAACAAAACCCATCGTTCAGCGGCGCCGGTGGTGTAGTGGTAAGCGTGATTACCTCTCACCCCAGCAGGCCTGGGTTCAATCCCAGTCGGCGCCGCCGGGATGTTCTGAGGCATAACATCTGTAATCACGCCTTCCTTCGGATGGGAAGTAAAGCCGTTGGTCCCCGGTTCATGAGTTGATGGGTCGATAGGTAGGGTCCAGGTGTGGGAGCTGCCTTCCTGGCGTCGGTAGCATTGGTGCTCAGCACGGAAAACAAGATCGACGGAAAACAAATCCAAGGAAAAAAAAAAAAAAAACCCATCGTGCGACATATCGAATTTCATGATTTTACAAATCTTGGCGAGTAATGGTCTTTTTGAGAGTCCATGGTCACACTAGCCCTCCCAGACATGTTCCAGTGCCCCAGAGAAGTGGCCAATTCTCAACAAAAACCAAAAACCCATCGGACGACACATCAAAATTCATGGTTTTCCAAATTTTGGCTGGTAATGGCCTTAATGAGACTCCACGGTCACACTAGCCCTCTCGGGCATGTTGCTGTGTCCCCGGGCAAGTGACCAATTCTCCACAAGAACCAAAACACGTCATGCGACATATCAAACTTTATGATTCTGCTGAACTAGGCCAGTAATGGTCTTTTTGAGAGCCCACGATCCCATTGGCCCTTCCTGGCATGTTTCGGTGTTCCCGGGTATATTTTCAATTATCGACAAGAACCAACATCCTTCGTGCCACATATCAAACTTCATGATTCTGCACGGCTAATAATGGTCTTAAACAGTCCACAGTCCCATTAAATTATCCCCCTCCCCCCCGGGTAAATATCCAACTCCCAATAAGAACCAGAACCCCTCGTGTGACATATCAAACTTCATTATTTTACGAAACTCCGTCCGTAATGACCATATTAAGAGTTCAAATCCCAGACACGATCCGATATTCCCAGGAATGCTGTTACACCTAAAGTAAATTATCGAATTAAGACAGTATTTCATTTCATCCCTATGCTGATTCAATAGAATTAAGAAGTTGTACTAGACATGTTTTAATTCTTATGATTTTAACTGTTTTTCTTATTCAACAGTGTACGCAAGCCCAACAGTTATTACAAAAATAGTACCCCTTTTCTTCCGATTTATGTTTCTTACATGTGGCTTTAAGACATACATGACACAATGATTTTACCTTTTCATCATTGGTACGAGAACAAATCGAACACCTCTTTAGTCCAGAACCACATTTATAGTCTTGAAGCAAAGATTTTGGTTGATGTAGGTTGTTGCAAGAATGGCACAAGTTACTAATGGATATTTTTGGTTGCTATTGAAAATTTAGTCGATTGCTGAATTTGCGTATGGGCGCAAATTAGGGACACTTAGGCCGACATTACCTGCATTTCCCCTATCATTTGTCAATCCTTTTCTTTCTATTCGTTCTTTGACGTGTTCAAGTGCCAACTCCTTTGCCAGCCAGTCTAAAAATTTCCGCTTTCGGCTCTTGTTATTCGGTAGGTAATGCGGATATGCTATTGTAAATAGGAAATACGCATTATTGGAGCACATATCCGTAAGGTTCATGAAAACAGCAAACGACCATCTGTTCGTTCGCCATTTGCAAGTGTATCCCGCGGTCGCTTTATCTAGTGTATCCACTCCTCCTTTCAATCTGTTGTACAACTGTACTATTTTCGGTTTGATTAAATTTTTCTTCAATTGGTCCTAAATTAAAAAAAAATACAGTAAAATCACAATGTACATATTTAGTTTTATGATTGATATTTTTTTTCCTTGGATTTGTTTTCCTTCGGGCTTGTTTTCCGTGCTGAGCACCAATGCTACCGACGTCAGGTTCCTGATCAAGCGGGAACGGTAACAAAGGCGCAGAAGGCGGTAGTTCTTTCGCTGACCATTTCGCAGGATAAGAAGTTTTTTTTTAAGCCGATAAGGGGATGTTCATAAACTACATATACATTTTTTTGGATTATTGTCCCCCTCCCCCTGCGTAGACAATTGTCTATACAAAATTTTTAAAATTTGTATGGTCCGTGCATAATTGTCAACCCCCCCCCCCCCCCCTAAGAGAAAGAGCTGAATGGACACTGGAGCTGGTGAATACTTTGGACATTCACACGCTGCGCTACTTCCGAGAAAAATCGCAGCTAGTATGCAATTGTCTTCAAAGCATGGATTACTTGAGTGTGTCAAGCTGATCGGTAACGATCATTTCGTGTCCTGTGCACATGGGACACATCGTTTTGCTTGAGGAATTTCTTGAATTTAAGGAAATGTAAAATTTGAAGACTTGTCGTCACAACTAAGTGATTCCCATTTCATTTGTATGGCAATCACGGCCCTCATTATGAGTATCACTTCCTTTTCACTGTATATTCACCCATATTCTTGTTTTCGTTCGAAACGTATTTTCCATGCAAAAAACATTTTTTTTTGTATGGAAAATACGGTTTGAACGAAAACAAGAATAGGGGTGATTGTCGTTAGAGTTGTAAACCGATATAAACCACTCGTGACAATCGATTTTATTCTAGTTCTGCATTAAAGCGCATTATTCAACGAATACAGTGCACTA